TCCATGCAACTATTTTTCTCATATTGCCATCTGATTTATTTATTAATATTCCAGTGAAATCCCATGTTTGCTAAACTGCAGTGGAACAGGTGAACTGCTTCAGGGTTTTTTTTGTTTGGTTGTTTTTAACACTGGATGAACTAGTATTTAGTAACTATTAAGGTGAAGACTACAGATGGTAACTCTATCTGATGGCGAACATCTGCCATGGAAATGTTATTCAGCAGGTACCTGATGTCTTGACATACACTGTACATTCCCCAGCTGCTGAGAATGCAGCGTAATATTAACGGTTTTATATAAATTTAAGACCCCTGTTCAGAGTTATTAAAATGAGAGAATGTATCTAAGGGCATGTAATTGAATTACTGATAGAAGTCTAATAATTTTAAACTCAGTGTTTTAGAGGTCTGCCTAACAGAAAGGAGAAATAGTTTTATATGCAAAACTATTCCTCTTCACATAGTACCTCTTGGTGGCTTTGGGGAAACAGATGAATGAAAAGGAAAGGAACATAGGCATAGATTTTTCAATGTATAAGTGTGGCCAGTATGAAAGTGTTGTTGATCTTATATAAAACATTTGTTAAAATGCAGGCTCTAGATATGCACTGCTGTTAACTGAGGGAAAGTTAATAGACATAAAATTGCATGTGGCTGTCATCAGTATCTGAAGCAGCCCTTCCCTAACTTCCCAAAACTATATTTTATTGCTCTACTAGTACTGCTTGCTTCAAACCAGGTGCAACTGCCATTCTGGCAGGCCCTTTCTCATTGCATATTCTCTAGGATGGAATTCCAAGGCCAGAACTGGGCTTGTCCTATTGCTATTACTGTTCTAAACATCTACTTAAATCAAGCATACTGCTTCCTCTTGTGTGATGTGGGCATGACTTGATGCCTCCTATTCTCATTACAGTTGATACTTCATGGTTTTTGTGTGCTATTCGTACTAGTTAAATGTTAGATAAGCAGGAATATCAGAAGTCCTTTTCTTTGTTTCACCAGACTTTAATCTAGTTCTTTTTCCTCACGTTACCTGCCGCTCTCCTGTGTTTTCTAACATATATAAACAAGAAACCAAGTCTTTTTCAGTACGAATACTTCAGAGGATGCTTACCAGGTTGTCTTCATAGTGTCCTGTCTTTTTAGGACTTGTAAAAAGGCAGATTATTTTCAGATGATGTCTTAAGGTTTCATAATCACTTACTGAGTTTTATTTCATGCAGCTCTGGGTCGAATGGGGTGTCTGTGCATTAGTACTATGTTTGTACAGACATTCTAGGGAGAGAAAGTGAAACAGACGGGATTATATTTTCAAAAATGAAAACTTTTTGAGTATCTTTTCCTGTTTTGAAGTTTGCTTTCTTAAGAATGTCTTTAAGGATTCCAGCACTTGTGTAAGCTAAATCAATATTTATTGTTAAAAACATAAGACAAAGCATTGACGTTTCTGGTCCAGGTCCATGTCAAACCATTGGTAGAACAGTGAGTCCTGATTCCTGTACACCCCTCCTCATCATGCATTCTTTTCCATTTTGTCAGGAAATTAAGTTCAGGAAATATATATTTCACAAAATATGTTGCTTCTCACTTAGTCTACCTGAATGTTTCTGTCATCCAGTAATTAAAATAACGAACGCTTTGTGAAACAACAGGTAAGCAGATTGGATAGGTAGTATTATCTTACTTGTAGCTACTGAGCTTGTAAATAATTAAATTGCTATCACTGTCAAGGTTTTTTTTATAAGCACCTCTTTCAGGTTGTGGTATTGGTTACTCAGTGCTTTGAGGTGAAGAAATAGCAGTGCAACAGGACTATACGGTTCATAACAGGACTCATTTGTGCACAGTGTAAATGAAAGCAGCCTTTAAAGCTCCCTTAGTGATCAATGCACAATTGCATAATCACTTGGGAATAAACTTTCCTTAGTACTTAACTGTCAATTATGTAAGCAAAGAAGCTAGCTATGTATATGAAAAATATTTGTATTCAGTTAGGATATTTTATGTTACATAACAGCAACTAATCTGCATATTAATTATAGCTACGGTAATGGCAAGTGTTAGGCTTGGTATGTAGCTGATCATGAGACTCTGCTCCAAATGATACTTCGCAGGGGATGATTGTTTTACTTATATTTCAATTAAGAAATAATATGGGTGGGAGACTTTAATAGAGGTAATAAGTGATATAAATGCAGAAATACAACCGTTCAAACGTAATACTCACTTTTTAATACCTTTAGAGAATCAAATGCTGAATAGGTCTGTCACACCTTTCTGCTCTATTCTATTTGCAACCAAAAGTCAGTACAGCAAAAAGAACCGTAGGGTATTGGAACCTTTTGAAAATACAAAAGCCACCTTTCTCTTTCAATGAAGTAAATTTTCTACTATTTTATGTTGAGTGTTAGGAAATTTTATTATTATTATCTTCTGACTAATCACGTCTTTAAAGTTCAGTTTGATATATTGAAAAAAAGGTTGGGGGTAAAGGAGGAGTATGTAAACAGTAACAGAATTTTCTGACTTTAGTATTTTCATTACTATAAAATAAACTTTTCTATTCAGCTCTTTTTGCTTAATGATCTGTAATTCTGAGACTTCCTATACTAAAATCCATAATTATGAATGTTTTTAGCAAGGTATGCATCCCTGAGATTTTTAAATAGGGGTGAGGGGCACTGGGTGGAAAAACCAAGAAAGTGTGCAGTTTCACCCATGATCTGCCGACGATTTCGCTGGTGACTGAGTTAGGCACTTAATCACTGTCTCAGTTTCTTATCTGAGAGAAAGAGATAATTATATCTCCTTTACTGTGAAAATCACATTAATACTTCTATTCAGTGTAAACTTGTATGGAATACAAAAGCCCACTGTGCTATGCAGAGGAGGACCATGCAGTAAGATCTGACGTGTAGAGTTCACAATCTGAAAGAAAACTCTAGTTACGAAAGGCAGCCACGCTGGTGGGAAGAGGGAAATAAATGATGTGTACTTTTTAAAAAGTCAGTAGCTGTCGGGCGCTCTGGGGCTGGGGGCTCCCTGAAGGCCGGGGGATGTGTCTAGGTTGCCTAAACCTCAATTTTTGGTTTTATTATAATGGCTGATATATACAGCCACACCATCCACTAAAGAAAAAAGCAAAAAGCTAAGTTTCTCTTTCCTGGTTTATAATTAAAACGCTGATGGTGGTCAAGACATCTTTTTAGGACTGATTTATGTGGCTTGGTGATGATATGTGTCACAAATTGTCACCAGCCAAGTGTTACTCTCCTGGAAATGCCTTGTGCTGTATCATACGTCACTGATCTAAGCAGTGAGCTCGTTTCTGTAAGTTGTGCTCTGTGCGTGCGCAATGCAGTGTATGTTTTTCGATGCTGAGTGCAAAACATCTGATTCACTGTATCCAAATTTGTCAGGGAATGAGGTCCAGTTATGCAAATACTAAGTAGCTTTTATCTTCTGTCTGGTTATTTGCTTACGAAGTACTGAATTACAGCTGTAATTCTGAATTTTGTTGTTATCAATATAGCCACATCATGCACTGTGCTGTAATTGCTAGTAAGAAGGTAGAGCCTGTATTTCAGAAGGGGTGCTAACAATAAAAGAATCTGATTAGCTCATTAAGTTGCAATTCTGTGATTATCTAAAAACAACTGTTGGTCTCCATATTGCGTTTCTAGTGTTGCTCTGCTGTCCTTTGCTGACAGATTCATCTGTATCCAAATTGTGTTATTAGTTGAGTACTACTCTCGGGAAGTGCTCTAACCTTTATGTCCAGCTGTGTCCTCAAGGCCATCTCACGGCTGTGCGTTTTGACCATGTTCGTGTTATCATTCCTACTGCAATAATAATCACTGAACTGGCGTCAAACATCTTTGCTTGTATAATGGATATCCCAAAGGAGATTAATGGCAATTGATTTCGTGTTTAGTGGCCTATAAGCAAGTCATCTATAAACAAGATCTTTGAAGCTATTGGTCAGTGCAGAGTGCTTGAAGCACCAATGTAATTATGTGGGTGCAGTTCAAGTGCTCAGTGCTTGCCTCAGCACTGGATTTTGCTGCCTTCTCTATGCCTGTTTAGCATAACTTGTCAAGTATTCAGGAAGTCATTAGTTTTATGTTGTCACCAAAGGCATGCTCACAGCACAGTCTGATACTTTGCATATGATATTTTTTAAACGCTGTGCAATCCAGGTTGGCTTTTCTTATCATTTTCCTTGTTTTTTGTGCAGCATCCGTGACTGTAGCACATAGCGTGAAGTTACAGAGATGACATCCTTGCTGCAGCGTTCAGGAGAGACTGACATGAATTCCAATGCATGTGACTCATCAGTCAGCTTAGTGCAGCTGAGGCCGCTCTTTAAATTCTAGTTCTCCATTCTACGAGAGCCACTTAGTGACAGAAGAATTCCTCTGATATATTAAATGCTTTCATTGAAACACTGGTTCACTGATAGCATGACAGCTCCCTGCAGATTCTCTGTGGTGTATTTTGCTCCCCTCACACTTGATAATTATTGTCTTGTTACATCATGCTTCTCAGTGAAGGTTTACTCAGATAATTAATTCTAGTGATAGTAAATTAAAATTGTACATCAATTACGTTCACACGTATTACATTGTTTTGAACTAATATATCAAAAGTTCCTTCAGTGGATGTCTGAAACTCGTTTATACGTAGCTCTATAATTGCATACATGGCTCTTGGCAATTGTGCTGCTTATAAGGAAGGAACATAGAGCATATTTGATGTCAAATGTATGTGTTTAACACTTACTATCAAGGAGAGTAGTATTGCCTGGTACCTCACACAACGTTTCTATTTCTATTGTTTCTAAAGAGATATGGCCAGTTAGATGCTTAATTTCATCTAGTAGCAATCCAGAAAGACTGATATGCTTTTTTTCATAGCATTTCTTAGCTACAACTGTATGCTGACTTTCACTGTCAAATTGCTAAACATTAACCAACCCAAATACTTAATTTGCAGGAGGCCCAGAAGATCAATGGTGGTGGAGATACACAGACAGATGGGGCCTGCAAACCAACAGATGAAAAAGAGGAGAATGTGGCAGCAGAAGTGGGATGGATGACCTCTGTGAAGGATTGGGCAGGAGTCATGATATCTGCCCAGACATTAACTGGCAGAGTACTCGTAAGTTTTCTATGATTTTCTATATTCTTATTTTAAAGAATGCTTTTTAACAAACACTATGTCCCAGCTTTAGCAGATGATTTTTGATTGATTTGTTGCATCCGCCCTGAGTCAATCTCAGTTTTGTCTTTTGAAAGTAAAATAGCAGACCAATTCCCACTCAAGAGAGAAGCAGAGACAGCAAGTAAGAAAAACTGACTTCCAGCCCACCTCCAAGCCTATTTCAGTAGTCTGGCATCATGATTTTGAACTGTGCTACAAACACTGAGTTTAGTAGTTTCATATTATGTGGTAAAACTGTAGACTGGTTTTGTCTGGAAGTAAAATTGTGCTAGCAAAAATGGAAGCCAACTTGGAAAATAAACACAGTATTACAAATGTAGATAGTGGTCACAACTGTAAAGCAAAGACAAGTTTCAATTGGCCATGCAATGGAATTTGTGATACTTTCAGTGGACTAGTAATGATTTTATGTTCTCTTCATCATTTCCTGTATTAACTTAGGAAATCCTTCAAACATGTGGAAAGTTATGTATCAAATAGAGCCACGAGTTGGATATTGATAATATGTGGTTTAAAGTTCCAATGAAAAAACTATAGTTTTCACTTATTTAGAATACTATTTTGGATATTTGAATTATTTTGTAGCCTTGTCAAATCATACTTAATTGCCAAGGGTTTTCTGGGGAGTTCACTACAGTAAAAGGTGTCTCCTGTGTCATTTTGATAGTTTCCTTGTTAGAATGCATGTACTTATAAACTAACAGCTAAAGTGCTTTAAATCTCATCTAAAACTTTTGAAAATCCCAATGAGATTTTGGAACTAGTTTGGATTAAACTGAAAACAATTTATGTCCTTGATTGTTTATGTTGGTTGAGAGATATTTTACTGTGAGTCAGTTCTGGTCTATGGAGTAGTTATTTGGACGGGGCCAGGGAAGGGAAAGAAAAGAAATTGCATTTCTCAATTAAGCCTTTTACAGTGGAAAGTTGAGATGGCTCAATTGCTACTGTCTTGTTTAGTTCTACAGTAATATTGTTTTGAATATTTTTTTCCTAAAACATCTTTTTCCCATTTGCTAATGTTAAATGCTGACCTTTATCACGATAGCTTGAAAGCATGTTCCATTGGCTACGTTTAGCATTACGTGTCTTCTATGTGAAACCGATAAATTGTCTTATGAAAAGCAGCATATTGATCTCTTGCATGTTTTCCTGACATCTTCAGCATTAAAAATGACCAATCTTAGAGCCATACTTCTTGTTCTGATTTAAGTATCAGGGCTAGAAATAACTCAGAACAAGAGTCCTATGCTACTAGCTATGCAATCAGATTGACCTGTGTGGTGTGTGTGTTGGTGTTTTTTTTGTGGGTTTTTTCTTGCATGTTTGTTTTTTTACTGGGGTATATGTGAGCACAAATACAAACCAACAATCAAGACAATACCTAAAATATAAACCACATTTAACTATATATTTTTATTCAAGATACTCTGGGAATTTATTCAATTTCATTTGATGACTTTGTGTATTTCCTTTGTGGTATTTTTTTTTGTACTTACAGTTTACCATTGCATCTTATAAGGGACTAGTTTATTTGCAGAGTTTTTTTTGTAGACAGCTGGCCAGCATCATTGGGTCAAATGATTTCTGAGAGTATATTTATATTCTTGTCAAGGTATAGCGGTGGGTATTGTACACATCAGGGCTTATGAATGTGACTAACCATCTGACAAATAAGTAGCGATGTATGGAGTCTGTTGGTTAATGTTGTTCAGTTTAGGAAACAAGATGCATTTATTTTAATACAGCACTCATCAGTTTCAGGGTTTGAATTGATAGGGTGTAATTTCTGGAGGACCGTTTCCAGTATGAACATTGACTGTTCATTTAAATTTTACTTTGTGATTATATTTGCTAAAGGTTAACTGCTTCAATGAACATTTATGCTAGAGAGAATATTCATGTTATTTGTAGATATAGGCTGTAGCTAAGTCAAAATTTTTATCAAAGTATATTACTTGAAAACATTATGATTTACTCATGAATTATTGTTAACTTAACACAACCTGTTCCTGCTGGCTATTATATTTCTGAATAGAAGTCTGGATTTTTTGTGTATGTGTGGTTTTTTTTTTTTTTTTAGCTGAAGAAAGAACTGGTGGCTTTACAGTGCTATAAAATTGAAATTGTATGAGATATTTGCAGCTAAAGAAATTCTAGTACTTTTTTACACTTTTAAAATCAATCTTATACATCTAGTGTTTTTAAAAGTGGTCCACTGAAAATGGACTTGGGAAAAGAGTTATAATCGATCTTCAGTCCTTCACTTGGGGTGTAAAAACCCCAAGCATCGCTATAGGCTCGGGGAAGAGTGGCTGGAGACCTGCCTGGTGGAGAAGGACCTGGGGGTGTTGGTTGACTACTGGCTTGATATGAGCCAGCAGAGTGCCCAGGTGGCCAAAAAGGCCAATGGGATACTAGCATGTATCAGAAATAGTGTGACCAGCAGGAACAGGAAAGTGATCCTGCCCCTGTACTCGGCACTGGTGAGGCCGCACCTGGAATATTGTGTCCAGTTTTGGGCCCCTCGCTTTAAGAGAGATATTGAGCTCCTGGAGCGAGTCCAAAGAAGGGCGACTAAACTGGTCAAGGGGCTGGAAAATAAAACTTATGAGGAACAGCTGAGGGAGTTGGGGCTGTTTAGCCTGGAGAAGAGGAGGATGAGGGGAGACCTGATTACAGCCTACAAATACTTGAGAAAGGATGGTGGGGAAGTGGGGGAAGGGCTCTTTACATTAGTGATGGGTGATAGGACAAGAGAAAATGGGTATAAGCTTAGTCAGGGGAGATTCAGGTTGGATGTTAGGAAGTATTTCTTCTCTGCAATGGTTGTCAGCCACTGGAATAGGCTGCCCAGGGAGGTGGTTGAGTCCCCATCCCTGGATGTGTTTAAGAAAAGGGTGGATGTACTGCTTAGGGATATGGTTTAATGGGGGATTACGGATGGTTGGACTTGATGATCTCTAAGGTCTTTTCCAACCTAGAAATTCTATGATCACCTGAAGGCCATTGTGTAACTGCTGCCTGGGTTTATTTTACAAGTGATGGAGAAGTTAGCAAAGTGTTGAACACAAATCAGTGTAAAGTAGAATCTTATTTGGGTTTTCTGTTCATGGAAAAAACTATCATCATTATTCTTACCTGGACAGTCATTTTTTCCAAAGTGCATCTTAGTGGATGTTTGTGGAACCAAAACTGAGTATTTTTTTTGATGTCTCTACTAGAGTCTGTCACCATGTCTTCGATGTGTCTGGTCTAGCTTTTATTTCTTCTTCGGTAACCTTACAAAACAACTTCCTAATTTATCAGATCAGTTTGTCCAAGTGCTTTGTGAGTGTTGGAACAATATTTATATAGTGACTGCTCCTATAATTACCTCTTTAATATTTAAACTTCATAGTTACCCACAGGTGAAGAAAATAAAGGCCAACAGTATGGAAAATAGAGGACAAAATTTGTTTTTAAAGGTCACAGCTCGCATCTGTTGTCTAAACAGAAATGTTTAAATGTTTTGCCTACAAATCAGTAGGCAACCTTTAAAATACAGAATAGAAGGCCTTCTTTCAACATTGTAGCTGTAGAACCAGTTGAAAACTTAAATAATTTTCAAACAAAAAAAAAGTTTTGAAAAAAACATTTTCCAAATCATATGTTTCAGTGCATCCTACTGGAAAGTAAGAGATATTGTTTGTTATTCATGATCTGGGTCCTTGTTGAGACAAGAGACAGTGAAATAATTTAATCCATTCTTGACAAAAACGTAGTTCTGAAATCATTGAAACAGATGATGCCCCTCCACACTAGGTTTTCTTAAAAACATTTAATTCATTGTTAGTTGTGGAGGAGGGAGTTCTGTAACTAAAATTTAAAAAAATAAATAAATCTTCTCCTTCATTCCCATTCCATTGATAAAAGAGGAAGAATTACATTTAAAGACTAAACAAAGGGAGGAGAAATTAAAACCTTCTCAAACCTTGAAATATTTTGCTTTTGACTTCAATTAAATGTTGTTTCAAATAAAAATAAATCAACCTTTAAGTATCTGAAATTTTCTGTAAAACCTATTTGTGATGGATGTCCGGGCCTGCCAGCAGTTTGTTGTGAGTTGTGGGAAGAAAAAAAAAAAACAGGCTTGTCATTTAAATTCTGGCAGTATTTTTTACATGTACATGTTAGAGCCAACTAGGTGAAGCCAAAGATATGGGTATTGTGCAAATTAATCTCTGTATACAGAAAAACTTTCACACATTATCTGTGGAAGTGATTCTGAACACTGGCAGAATTGACTGTCTCATTGGCACAAAAGCTTCCTATACTGGTGCTGTTATGTAAAACGCAGTTGGTATTTTTGCACCTACTCTTTCTTACTTTTTTGGAACACGAAAGAATTGGTGCTGCTGGCTTCATGTATTGCTCCACGAAAGTGGTCAATTGTGTCTGGTTAGTCAATACAAAATGCTCACCTTGTCTCATTTCTTAATATGCAACTCCCTCATCGCATGAGTATCTAAGAGCAGGTTTATTGGAAATATATCACAAATATATCGTGCTACTATCTCCATTTGTATCCTTAGCTCTTGGTTACATTAGGCAGGAGTTGCCCCTGTTTCCTGCTCCCAAGAATGTTTTTTTATCAATCCCAGCAGAGAACCGTTAGGAAACAGATTTCTGTTCTCTCAGTCTCTAGAAGTAGTTTTTATTTTGTTGAAAAGAGAATTTTGTGTTTTTGTTGAGGGGGAGAAGCAACTTGAGAAATTGGACTGTGAGATTTACTTGCTAAGTAATTAAACTATCAAATTTTCAAAATGTTTGGCCATCACTTATTTATCATTATGTCAACTTCGTATCTCATAGCATGTAATTCTTGTCTGTTTAATGACAGCAAAATCAGATGGAGTAGATGTAAAAGTGGCATGTATATAGGATTGCAGTTGATT